GAGCCTCAGCATTCCAGGGGGAGGCTGTCAGGGGCTTCCCAGAGGAGGGGCTATTTGTGAGGAATACTGTGGAGGGAATGGAAGTCTCGTAAGCAAAAACTGTCTGTGATGTGGGGTGGAGTAAGGAGGTTGCACAGAAGTTTGTTCCAGGCTGAGAAAAGGGCAGGTGTGAAGGCAAGAGAGTGAAGAGCAAGATGCAGCCAYGCTCAAGTGCAAACAGCTCAGCATGGCTGGCTGCAAGCTGCACAGGGGCTGAAAGGAGATGTGCTCAAAAGCAGGCAGGGGCGTGACAGATAGGGAGACCCACTGAAGGGTGTCAGCGGAGCGAAAGCTGGTGTTGCAGAGACTGCTGGGGGCTGCTGGACTGGGGACAGGTCGGGAGGAAAGCAAGGCTACAGCAGAGATGGGGCAGAGGCTTCTGTTGGAACCCAGGCAAATGATGACGTGGGTCTGGACCATAGCATGCGGATGGTGAGAGGGGGCGATGACTGGCTTGTACTGAGGAGGAGATGCCATGGGACTTAATGGGGGTAGGGGCGTGGGGGTGTGGGGGGAGAGAGGGCGATGGACGCACATGTGTGAGATGTCTCCAGTGGAGCCTCAGTTTGGGCCTGTGGGTGGAGTGAGAAGCAGAGACAAAGTGTAAATCCTGAGAGTCTGTGGCACGCTCAGGAGGCACAGGACGCGTAGGTCATAGAGCCCAGGGAGTGGCAGGGCCAGCCTGGAGGCCAAAATCCAGGAGCCCTGGGCCTAATGAACAGATCRTGAGGGCCATAGACTGGTGGTCGCCCACTGAGGGTGGTACAGAGCTGAGCAGGTGGAGGATTGTAGGCTGGAAACAGCCTGTCAGGAGGAAACAGGGCAAGAGAGCTTGATAAAGACCATCACCATCCTCTATCTGAGAGATGGACTGAGAATCGCCTTCTACTTGGTACCTCCTCTGTGGTCTCTGCCTTCTCCCATCCACCTTATACATGGAAATGAAACCAAGTTTTCTGAAGCAAGTGTCCTACTTTTATTACCACTGTCACAGAGAAAACCACTGTCACAGCCTCCAATGTCAAAACCAAAATCTGCTGTCAGGTTTAACAACACCCCTCCATTATCAGTTGCCCTGTTATTTCCCACCTTTAACTGCATACCTGCCACATTTCTCTCAATCAGGGCTCCTGGAGGTCTTTCCTGTCCACAATTGCATTGTCACCGCCATGCTGACTCCAGCTGCGTCTGCCCCGAGTGAGGTGCTCCCCCAATCCCAATCCTGCCCTGCTTCCCATGCCTGGAACTGCTCGGACAGTACCAGTCCACATGGAAGGTGCATCTCCCAGGGCACTGCAGTGCATGTGACTCTGCTATTGACCATGTGTCTCAAGCACACTGCCCACACTTACTGGAATTGATCACAAACTCATTAAAGGGAAGGACATGTCCTTTACTTCTTTTGGGTCACAGGGGGCCCCAGTCTTGGTCAGAGCTTCTCAAGCAATTGTACTGCAACCCTAGAACCATGGGAGAGGCATGGGGAATGGGCATGCAGAGGGCAACAGGGAGCAGCGGAGGAGCTGCTGGAAGGAGATGGAAGAGGACAGATGTAGGCAAAGACCCACAAGGACCCCCCTGGAACAGACTGCCAGGTTATTTTGAATGCTCAAAATTAAAGACTGGGAATGAGTAATTTTTAATATATAGTAATTAGTAACTGAATAACTCTATGCTATATAACCTCTGGGTTCTATTAAAAAACATCTGAAAACCAACAGCTTTTAAACAAATAATGGATTTATTTTAAATGGAGAAACAATTTGAGGCTTCCTACAATAAAAGATTCAAGGGTATTAAAACAAACAGAAAGATACACTTGAAACATTAAGGAGATGGAAGTAAAAGTTTCTTCAGATCCACTGTGTGTGCACATGCTTGAGAACTAAACATGGCATGGTTCTATTCTGAGTGGAGGGAAGCCATAGGAAGAGCCACAAAGAGAGGCAGTAGCTTCCCGGTGCCTGTCAAAAATGGACGCTCCAGAAGGGCAGGCTTTGGGTATTCATTCACTGAGGCTTGAGCTGGCAATCTGGCAGATCCTGTGGTGTTATAAATATCTGAAGTGGAGAAAGACACTGTGGCATCTGTAGCCAACCACAAGGGAGAAGCCACATGTAGGCCCCGAGGATCCTGGGCAGGGCACACATCTACAGCAGAAAATTATGTTCCTGCAAAAAACTGCTACACTACCAAGTGCCTGTCCAAGGGTCAGAGAAGCAAGGTGTTTGCAGAGGGAGACCCATCAAATGAGTAGGCCAAGTGGACCAGCACATATCCACTGCTGGATGCAAAGGTGCACCTAAAATCAGCAAGGTGGGGCCAAGGGCACGGTGAGCTGCAGAGGCAGGTATGCCAGACCCATATCGCCCTCCCTGGTTGCCCTGAAACCTTTGCCCAGCTCAYACCTATGCCACAGAATTGGTGGGTCCTTGATGACCAAGTGACAGAGAACAATGGCCCAATCTGGTTGACAGTTGGTAGAAAGGGATCATGGCTTCACTATGGCTCCATTCACGGGGTCCCCAAAAGATAGCAAGGTGCGCAAATTCTCCAGTGGGCAGAGCTGGTGGCGCATACAGTCAGCCACTTAGTGTAGAAAGAGAAGGGGCCTGAGGTGATGATATGCGGAACATGGATTTACTGGAAGTGGCCAATGACTCTGTGGGCTGGTCAGTGGACTGGACAGTAGTGGAACAAGGAAACCCGTGGAAGAGGCAAGTGGACAGGCCTAAAGGAACTCACAGGAAGGATGAAGGCTTTGTTTTACAGTTTAACGCCTACTGTGGACATCCCCCACAGAAAAGGCACCAAACAGCAGGCAAGCAGAGGGACCTGGCAACTCTGTCACTGGCATCCCAGTGTTGGCACGTGAACAGGGTAGCCAGGGTGGCAGGACGCAGGCTATGCAGCAACCCCACTCACCAAGGCTGCACTGGTGACTGCATCCAACCTGCACCAACAGAGACCACACAACCCAGTACACCCATGTCCCCAGAACAAACAGGGCCCTTTCCACTCTGAAAGGGGCAGTGTTCTGGACAGAACCCCAACCTCCCGCATTCATATGCTGAAGCCCGACACCACAGCACGACTGTATTTAAAGACAGAGTCTTGAAGGAAGTAATTAAGGTTAGATGAGGTCCTTACGTGAGTCCTAATCAAAGAGGACTGGCACACTTAAAAGAAGAGTATTGGGGCTCAGAACATGATATCCCAAAGCAGGGCACCTTGATGTGCTGAATACTTTGAACTGAAGGAACTGGAAGATCTCTAGAAGTAAGATCAGTCTGACCTTCTGTCAGCCTGTCTCCTGTTCCTTCTCCCCTGAAACAAGTATTAGAAACTAGAATTTCTCTTCTCTAAAACAGGTTATAGAAACTGATACCCTCTGGGCTGGGGATGTAGCTCATGCGGTATCGCGCTCGCCTGGCATGCGTGCGGCCCGGGTTCGATCCTCAGCACCACATACCAACAAAGATGTTGTGTTCGCCGAGAACTACAAAATAAATATTAAAAATTCTCTCTGTCTCTGTCTCTCTCTCTCTCTCCCTTTCTCACTCTCTCTTTAAAAAAAAGAAAGAAAGAAACTGATACCCTCCCCTCAAAGCAACCCAAAAAACCTAGAAAGGTAATTTTCTCCTTTCTCCCTTGATGACCCTCATTCCAGAGGGGTCCAGGGAGAAAGGAACGCTACAAGTACACAGACCAAGAACACATGAGCAGAAGGCCTTGCTGGGTTCCCCATCTAGTACCACTAGAGCACACTTTTTGCCCTTTCTGTTCTTTTTTTTTTTTAAACTAGGGAGTGCCTTACCACTGAGCTCTGTCCTCAGCCCATCTTTCCATTCTTCTTTCAGTTTCCTTGTAGGATCCACCTCCTCCTGCCAAATACAAAGCTTCGCCTACAGCCATGTTCACCTTGGTTGCGGTTCTTCCCTTAGAGCTCATCTAGTCTCTTGCTCAGCTTGCTTCTATATAGAGTTGACTCCTTCACCTGTACCTCTAGCTCCGAGAGAGATGTCTGTCCTCCATCCTTAAACATACCATGGATACTTTTATGGTATGCTCCAGAGTCACTTCAAATTCAAATATGTCTTTAGGGGACAACTTCTGCTTCTCTCGCTCTCCCATGCCTTCTTGCTCTCCCATGCCTTCTTCCCACCCCAGATCCAAATGCTGGGACCTGTGCCCACAATGGCCTTTAAGGATTTCAGAGCTGACTTCTCTTCTCCAGGTTGCTGAGACACCTGCAGACCTACTGCCTGCACCCAGGCTGGCAGGAGACAGGGATCCAGCAGGAGAGAATCATGTCTCTTGCTGCTCTGGAGGGTGATGAAGGTGGAGGTAAGGTGTGAAGAACCCAGTGTGCTGGGTAATAGATGTGTCAGAGCAAGAGCTCCTCTGAAGGACAGGTGCAGTATCAGACTGCCTAGATACTACAGTGTTTRCTGATACATGTGTAATAGTTCCTGGTTATTGATAACAAGGTTAACAAAACATGGCACTTATTTGATTTGCTCATTGGTTATTCCCTAAAATTTTCTCATCTTCACATTCTCCTCATCTCAACCAAGGAAAATCATAAAGCTTTGCGTTTGTTCTTCATCCACAGCACACAAGTAGCATTTTTAACAGGAAGACACTGTGGCTTTTACAAGATTATAAACACAGATAAATATCCTATTGTGTTAACTAGGTTGGTGTTTCTCCAAGAAACGGTGACTATCTAATATAAGTGGAAAAGAATGTCCAGTTTGACCAATCACTCAGCTCCATTTTTTTTTTAACCTTAACAAAACAAAACAAAACAAAACCAAGAATAACCACTATCAGGACCAATGTTCTATTTGGAAACATGTCAAATCCACATCACAAAACTTAGGAATAAAATGAAGTTGCTGTCACATACATGATCATAAGGGAGAGTTTGCTCTCGGAGTATTTATGCCATTAATTACCTGCTGCTGTCTCTGCCGCCTCACTTGTGCAAACTGGGAGAGCATCAGCTGCCGATCAAGCTGCTCCATTCTTTGCTGCCTCTGGATGTCCACTGTGGCTCCCATCCCAACTCTGGCCTCACTGGTGGGTTCTGAAGATGAGAAGATGGGTTCAAGTGTCCAAGAGAAGAACTGTGCCACCCAGCTGGGGATGCAGAGCACCTGGTGAACTTGCAACATTTTGCGGTCATAGCACAGACCCGAGATCTAAAAGAAAGAAGTCCAGCTGGATTGTTTAAATGTAATCACATTTTAAAGAATATATTTAAGATAGAAATTATAACTGTAAAACATTTCAGATGGCATTTTTCTCAGTTTTAGCAGTGTTAGGTGATGAGCAAAACCSCTACTATATTGCAGAATACTAAGTAATACAAACTAACAAAAATTTAATTTACTTGGTAAAACAAAGTTGTTTTTATTAAATTAGGAGATAGTAAAACCCTAGCCATTTAATATTCAAAGTATTCAAAGTACAAACCAATTTTTTTAAAAAGTCTTCATTTTTTAAAAAGCCATAAATTTGATTATCAAAACAATTTCATACTCTACTAACTATGGTTACCCATATTGGCACATGGCCATCAGAGAAAAATATACCAGTAGAAGACAACTCTGGTGATCCATCAGCTGACCCAGTCATTCATCAGAAAATAAGGACAATCTAAAACTTTGGCTTTTATTTATATAGTGTTTTAACCAATTTTTCAAGTACTGATTTTTCTAGATGCTTGATTCCTCATCAATATTACTTAGCAATATATGATGGTTCTTTTTACAACAAACCTATTTTAAATTTTGAAGGTCATTTATATGGAATGAAAAGTCTCAAGACTGTGGTTTTCTAGGTAAAAACAACTATGGTTATTCTTTGTTTAAAAAACATCTTTAATYTTATGAATTTTTAAATTGATTGTTCAAAACATTACAATGCTCTTGACATATCATATTTCATACATTTGATTCAAGTGGGTTATGAACTCCCATTTTGCTACGTGTACAGATTGCAGTATCACATGGTTACAGATCCACGTTTATACATACTGCCATACTAGTGTCTGTTGTATTTTGCTGCCTTTTCCTATCCCCTTCCTATACCCCCTCCCCTCCCCTCTCCTCCCATCTTCTCCCTCTACCCCATCTACTGTAATTCATTTCTTTCTCTTGTTTTTTTTCCCCCTTTCCCCTCACATCCTCTTATATGTAATTTTCATRCCAAATAAAAGCACACAGTAACTGCCTTCACAACAGTGCACTTTAATGTCTTATTAATGTCATTTAAGCTAAGCAGGCAAGGGCTCGCTGAGCTCCTATGCTGGGAATGGTGCTGAGGTTAGACAGACACAGTCCTGTTCTTATAGAACAATAGTGATCAGTATGGAGAAAAGACAGTAAGTAAGTCTCACCTGAGTTCTATGAAGGACACAGTGACTTGGAGCAGGGATGTACTTTAGTTTGGGTGGTGAGGGAAGCCCTTAAAGGAATGATAGCTGAGCAGATGATGGGGTGTTAGTTACTTGAAGAGTTAAGAGAAGACTACTTCAAGGTAGACGAACAGCAAACACTATGCAGGATTGAACCTGGGAGCATTTTAGTGAAGCTATGAAGTGGGCAGCTGGATATACAGATTGGAACTTAAGGAACAAGGCAGAGATAGGAATTTGGAAGTCTTTGGATATCACATATTAAACCAATGAGACCACATGACATAGTATGGGGAGGGAGTTTTTAATAGAAGGACAGTGCTAAGGAATGAATTTAGGAGTACACTCACATTTTGTAGATGGATGGRTAGATGAAATAGAAGATGCCAGTACACAAATCTGTGAAGAGGCTGCCAGGGAAAGAGGAGAAACTAGAAGAGTTTTATACCAGTGAGGCCAGAAAGCATGTGTCAAGAGGGGAATAGCTGGCTGCATTTAATGCAGCTGACAGTTAAGTAAGACAGAGAGAAATGGTTGYGCCCACAGAGGCCTCTGATGACCTCACGGGAACACCCTGGAGCAGTGGCAGGAGCAAAAGCGGATAGTGGACTGGAGAGTGAATGGTGGGGGACTTTTGGTTTCAATAATTTCCAAGCTCCTTCTCTCAAAAATAGTACAAAACAAACAAAATGAAAACAGAAACAAACTCTGTATCTGTTATCCTGAACCACACTCAACAAAACGGAAAGCACACTGCACACATACAAATCACTGGGCACGAAAGGGGTACCCTGAACGCGGGCTCAAGGCTGAGCCTGTGAAAAGCACCCACTTCCTCCCACAGCCAGCAAGCCTCGTTTCTGCCCTCCCTCTGTGGAGCAGGAACCCAAGAGGGTCTGAGCAGGCAAGGCAGGCAGAGAGCACATCAATGTGCAACCACAGACGAGAGAGGAACCCAGGCAGAGTGGGAATACATTTAAAGAGATGATAGCTGAGAGCTTTCCAGAATTGATAAGGAACATACATCCTCAGATTTAAAATATAAGAGTCTCAGACATATAACAAAATGAAATTGACTTCTAGTAAGATAAAAAGAAATCCTTAAAAGCAACCAGAGGTGAAACACATACTGCCTAGGAGGGAAAAAAGCTAAGAAATGCTAGGAATAAATAAATAAAAATTACATGAGGCCTTGATAGAGCGAACTTAAAAAGTATGTAATAAGGGATAATTTGAGAAACATAAGTAAAGATACCACCATCCATGAATGGGAAGATGCAGAATTAAGATTCCAATTTTCATGTGAATGTACTGTGTATACAACCAGAGATATGAAAAATTGTACTCTATTTGTGTAATAAGAACTGTAATGCATTCTGCTGTCATATATAAATAAAAAATATATAAAAGATTCCAATTTTCACCAAGAATATATGACTAGAATATATTTCAAAATAAAATCTTTTTTTTTTAAAGAGAGAGTGAGAGAGGAGAGAGAGAGAGAGAGAGAGAGAATTTTTTAATATTTATTTTATAGTTCTCGGAGACAACATCTTTGTTGGCATGTGGTGCTGAGGATCGAACCCTGGCCGCACGCATGCCAGGCGAGCGCGCTACCGCTTGAGCCACATCCCCAGCCCCTCAAAATAAAATCTTAACAGGGTGTTGTATTGAAATGTAAATGCCAATCCTCAAATTTATATAGAATATTTAAGTTTAAACTGTAAAAATATTATGTTGGGTGAAAGAAGCCAGAAATAAAAGACTGCATGCACTTCGATTCCACTTCTGTAAGCTRACCAATCTCCACTATACGCCCAGTGATAAAACAGTGATGTGGAGCCACAGGTAATCACGTGTGCAGGAGAGAAGGGCCACCTGTCCCTGCTCTGCATATCAGCATGACCTCGAGTTGTCAAACAAACAAAGCACTACTTTAAAACRTTTTGGATATTCACAAAGGATTAAAATGCGTAGAGCTTAAAAGTTTAGTTTCCTGTAAACATTTGATAATCACACCACCCCTTTCCAATACATGATGGGGTAAGAATAACTGCATCAAAGTTTGATCTAGTCTCTATGAAAAGCTTTTAGAGTATCACATTATCATTACTTTTAAAACTAATTTTCATTATCTCACAAATCCTTCTTGTATTGAGACTGATGAATGAGATTTTTTCCTTGAAAGCCACACAGCTTGTCAAAAAATAGGCTTTAAAAACAGACCATRGGCTGGAGGCAAAGCTCTGTGGTAAACTGCTTGCCTAGCACAGACAAGGCCTTAGATTCCGTACTACCCGCCCCCCAACCCCCACCCCCAAATACAACTAAAAACCAAACCAAACAAACAAAAAACCAACCAATGAAAAAACCAAAACAACCAAACCCAAATGCTGGAATTTGTACATCATAAGGCCAAGGGAAACTACCCAGGGACATGAGAAGCCCTCCAGAGGTCAAATGAAGGGTTGCCTATTTAACAGGGAAAGAGGAACAGATGAACAGATTGGGCAAAAGGGATGACTATCTGGAAAGGCCAACTAGAGCTGGACTCCGAGCGCTCAGGTGCAAGAATCGGAACTCTGGTTAGGAAAAGGGCACAGAGATCAGGAAACCAGAGAACACTCTGGCCCCTATCCCACTGAAAGTGTTAGCCAAAGACTGAGACTAGGCTCAGGGCTGAAGGGAGGAGTACCCCATGTGCTATTCCCTCCTAAGTCTAAGCACCAATGCAAAACACAGGAAATCATTTTCCTTTAAGCCACTATGGGTAACAAGATTATTAAGCCTTTAGAAAGGGAACAATGAAATAATGCTCATGGGCAAATTAAGAATTGAATTTGCTGGATGAAAACATGAATGCTCTTGTTTACAGAGTCTCAACCTCAAGTGTCCTCTGGTCCTGTTTAATGTAAGCCTGAAACAACCGCAGGCAAAGGTGAGAAGCCGTGACCTGGCAGTGACACTACCAGGTGCTGCTCTTTCTCCAGCCAGATGTGTCTGAGCAAAATCTACTAAGCAAGCTGCACAGCTGGAGTCYTGTGGACCACAGTTCCCACATTCAAGAAACCTTCCATCTAATGGTACAAACACCTAAAGCCAAGGGGCTCCTTTCCTTGGGGAATGACATTGCTTCTGCATATGACAGGAACAAATGTCCCCTTTTGCCTGGGCCTCAGCAAGCAGACTTCGTGTCCTTCTTCTGTACTGACAACACTAAAAGAAAGAGGGAACTCTGGAAAGTCCTTAATTTATCACCCAAAGAATRTGTATGCAAATTAGGGATGCCCTAAGTTATTTCTGCCATTTGTGATTAATTTTGAAAAGATCGTTCTTTTCATGACACAAAGAACCATGTGGCTTTAGCAGTTATTTTGAGTCTTGCTGTCTTTTTCTTCAAGTGCAAAAGTGATTCTGACTGAACTCTGTATAGCTGCCCTAGCTCTTTCATGTTAAGGAAGATTCTGAGGCATCCAATTAAAACACTGGATATCCTTCTGATTGTTGAGATTCTGAATTGGCATGCAGACAGAATTAGCCTGGTTATAGGTTATTCATTTCTTATCTGCTCTAACTTTCCTTTTTTGGCAAATCATGCCTCAGGAGGACTAGGTTAGCTGCACAAAGCAGAAAAATCTCAAACAACAGTGCCTTAAATACAATAGAATTTTATTTCTCCCTCATGTTAAAAAAAAAAACTTCAACCATTTTAATTGCACTTCAGGGAGTGGGAAGAAACTAAGGAACAACAACAACAACAAAAAAAAGTATGAAGGCTACTTT